ATAGATGTTAAGAGACTATAGGCCTCTTGCGGGCATTACTGTTGCAGGACAATGGAACATGCAAGGAGAGAAAGATCTAACCCTGCTGCTTCTCTGTCACTTAGATCAGTCAACTGCAAATGAGTTTGAAGATGAGTTGTTCTCATCGAGGGTCTCCACGTGTGCAAGAAAGCTGGGAATTCTGGACTCTTGTTAATGGGGAATCCTACACTTGTTAAAATATTTCACATCAGCTTCACTAGTATTTCTATGATGTAAGTCTGTGGTCCCCAACCTTGGGCCTCCAAATGTTCTTGGACTTCAGCTCCCAGAAATCCTAGCCAGCAGAGGTGGTGGTGAAGGCTTCTGGGAGTTGCAGTCCAAGAATATCTGGAGGCCCAAGGTTGAGGACCCCTGATGTAAGTGATGATGAGGGCAAGTTGGGTATGACAGCTCCTTCCTCAAACGTTGAGAACTAATTTATTGAAGAGGGTTTACATATTGCTATGCCTTCCCCACCAATTTGAAGTCCAAGTGGCCAAAACCCTGTTGGGATTTTACACTAGACTAAGGCAAATGGCGTGACTTCTGGAGGCAAATGGTCTCAAGTTAAGAAAACACCATCGTATCACCTGTTGCACGCCAAACTGTGAAATTCAATATGCAACAGATATCTATAGTGATTTCTCAGCTTGAGACAATTCTGATTCAAACATTAGTGTTACACTTTCAGGCATAACTAACAATATATTGGCTAGTAAATGCAGTTGTATTTGCAGGCTTTGAGTCACCTTTTGCTCCCCTTGTTACCTCCTCTTGTTACACATCCCACCTCTCTCCATCGTTTCTTCCTGTTTCCTCACTCTTCCTCACTTCTCTCTCTTTCTGATGGTATCTTGGTTACAAATTTCGTGGGGCACAAAATCGTCTATGTTTTGCTTCATGCAAGGAACTCTCTAAAGTACTGTGCATATTGACGGTGTTATAATAATCACCACCACTTGCTATAGTGGGATAAACTTATTGTACCAGATAACAGAATGGATTACACCAGAACAGAACACGCACAACACCTACTATAGTGTCATTTAAGACACCCGCTTCATTTTAGCTCTTTTTCATAATGCTAAAATGAAACAGTAAGTGCAACAACTTAGTTTTATAAATGAAGCATGCAATTTTAAATTTTACCCACATGCAGTTAATCTTCTAATATTGGCAGTTCCTGAACACTGATTGACTTTCCGTAGAGAAACAGACTTGAGATACCAGATGACTATCTCGGTATGCAATGGACTAAATAATAATTATTTGACATCAGGTGGTTTCTGATTTATGCTAACTGCTCAGTAGTTTTCTAGGTATTGAATACTCAGCAATGGTTTATGAGTCCCTCCTTCTGATCGCACACTAGGAATGTGCAGCTTGCCCAAAGGCATACAGGTGGCAGATCACTTAATCCTATCACCTCCACTCATGTGATGGATGACCACGGCCTTTTTCCTTGGCACACAGTGAAGATTTGAATTCTCAGCCCCTGGCTCCACAGCCAGGTGCTCTGGCTCACTGAGCTGTACCAAATAGGAAAATAGGAATCATGGCTTGTAAATAAATCAGTGTTTATCATGCTCCAGGAGGGCTGTCTAGGTGTACAGATATATATATACTGAGCATGCCCTTTAGCTTAGTATGGGATGCTAAAACTAAAAATGTTCAGAGGAGGGTTAAATTGAAAGCATGAAGAAGGAAAAGGTTTAGTCTTGACCTCTGCCTGTTGCTGTCTCCACATGAACGACAGCATGAAAAGGATCTCCACTCATGTGGAGACTGCACTTGTGGCACAATATTTCCTCTTCAGATAGTGCTTCTTCCTGTGGGACAGTAACAGGTTGGGATCAACACTAGTAGCAGGTATAGATTCCCTCTTCATGCTTTCAAGTTAGTCTTTTGTGTAAATAAAAGGCTTGAGTGGAACTTGAAAGTGGAAGGTTAAAAACCTAAAACCAGGACTGAGAAAATGTGTGTGTTTGAGGTCTCATCTCATAATAAGGGTGGGGAAATTTTTATCACTCCACATATTGGTGCACTATAGTCCCAGGAATGAAAAACATTTGAGTGCTTATCAGATCCTTATTCCTTTGAAAGGGAGCAATGGTACCACAGAAAGGTGTGCGCTGGGGAAGGGAGGGAGAGATTGGCTCAGCACTAGAATGGGCCATATGGAGCCTCAGGCATGTCTTCAAAGGGTGAGGAGATCTGGAACACAGCCACAACTGACAAACCGCAGTGCAGCTGTTTCTGTGTCTTTAAAGAACTCATTCGGTGCTAATTTACTGCATTATTTGTTTTGCATAGTGCAGATTGTCATCAGAATACAAAAGTGATGTTCTTGATTTTTATTCCCTTTGAAGGCACAAAAGCCATGCCACTGTTGAATTCTTCTAGATTTTCAACAGAGCAGGTTGCATACTGTGCTTTTATTTATTCATTTATTCGTCCATTCGTTCATTTGTTTGTTTGTTTGTTTACACTTTGCAATAGAGTTGTGGTAGAAATGTGACTCTACAGGCTGTTTATGCATGGATATTTATCAGCTGATGATCTCAGTGCCGTTGTTATAACAAATATTGCTGAAAGAATTTTCATATCAGCTTGACTCTCACACCGCACATTTTAGCTGAGTTGGCTTAGGTCACTAGTCAGGATCAAGCAGAGATAAACGAAACAATGCATATACTCGTGCGAACAAGGCCTTGGGTCATTGAGAAAACCTCTGGGGTTTGCCCTTGGAAGCTCCTGGAGCTATGAAATTAATTCGTAGAGAGAATTACAGAAACATTATAGAACTGCACCTTGTCTACACCATGGGTCACTCTGGTTCCATGCTGGGTTTTTTTTCTGACAAATGTAATGTAACTGAATATTTACTCAGTGTAAACATCTATTGTGCTTCCTCAATAGACTCAAGAAGCAGAATTTTGGACTTTTGGTTCTTGAGATAAAGATCATGGTTATGCATATATCCCCATCTTATTCATCCGCCCACCTACCTGTCACCCTAAATGCTGTAGAACAGAGACAGAGGCAGTTATTGCTCAGAAGTGCTACTTCACTATACACAGATCTCTTCCTTAGAACTAAAGCAGATACAACAACAAAACATAATTTTCACTGGCTTTTGAACTGTGAGCTCCTTACAGACTATACAACACCACACAGAAAGGTGTGGTCTCTCTCTCTCTCTCTCTCTCTCTCTCTCTCTCTCTGTGTGTGTGTGTTTACAGTGGGGGGGCATTCAGAAATATGGTCCTTCTCTTAAGGATCAGAACTGTCTCTTGCGTTTACCAATTCATTCTGTACAACATGGATGTTTGCACTGAGTAAACATTTCATGGGGTAAGTCTTTGGAAAGAGAATGTTCCTAGACTGCCGTAGTCCTTCTTTGGGTCAAGAAGTCCAAGGAAAAGGAAATTGGAGGATATACACAGTGATACCCTCTGCTGCATAACCACACATAGTTTTAATATATCAGAGGTTAGGAAAAGAGGTTTCCAGGTCAAAACTGTCAATTCAATGGTGTACAACTTGTTTTTGATTTCTCTGTCTAGGTTCATGACTTGCACCATAAATTCTTGCTATGACTACTGCACATGGAATGCCACAGGTTACTTGTGCGAACTAGCAAGGAAGATGGGTTGCCTTAAGAGACCAGTGGTGGGCTCTCAACAAATACCTGTGCTGTTCTCAAGCAGAGACAGAAAATGAGTACTTCTAAGTCATGTAGGTACCTGCAACTAGGTGTGTTTTAGGTAAATGAGGAAGGTAACAAACACTTAAAAAGTTAAGAACAATAATGTAATAAGTTGTGAAAGCATTACTTCCTAGCAATAACGTGGTTTGTAGTTACATTCAAAAGTTACTATTTAAGGGTATTTTAATGCATTTTTATAAGCATTTTAAGAGGAGTTTTTAAAAGTATACCATTATCTGATCAAACATAGGCCTTTTTTGTATTTTTGAATAATTTGTAAGGTACAATATTAGAAGTGGTCTCTCTGACCACTAGAGAATCAGAGAGAGTGTATCAGTGTATTTTTTTTAGGCCTAGTAAAGAGAATGTGAAGTGGTAATAACACAGAGCAACTAATTACCTGTGTGATTGAAGTAATGGTAACAACACCCTAGCTGCTAAGAGGTAATGAGTAATGTAATAAATGCTTATTAAAAATGACATTCTGAGCTCTATGCTTTACTCATTTTGGCTAGATTTTGGGGCTCTCATAGATTCTGCTGTAAACTAACAGTCCTAGTGCCAACTCACTTGCCACTCAGTGTGCTTCAACAGAATAAACATTCTTTGAAACAGATTCTCTTAAACTATCTTTAAAGTAACCATCCTGGCCTTTTGATGAAATCATGCCAGTGGACGCGTCAACTAAGTGTGCAATTTGCTGCCATAAAACTGAGGGTTGTTCTGTATTCAAGAACAAATTTACATCCAATTTTCAGAACATCTCCAAGTAAGAAGCTTCACCAACTCCCTAAGCCACACTGGCCCAATGATGGGCAAGAAAGAAATGTCTTTGGTTTGCTGTGCTGCAGCTGAGGTCATAGGACTTGAGAAACAAACTAATGAAGAAGCTACTGCTTCTACTTCTTGTTAAACAGGAGTTCTAATGTTAGAATGTGAATTGCTGAATTGTAACCTGGAAACATTATTCCTCTGGACAAATAAGCTAAATTTGTCTCCTAGAGCAAAGACCAAGAAGTTATCCTAACCTCTGTAAATAGCTATCCTTTCCTTGCTTTTAAGAGAACAACAAATAATCAACATACATACTATATATTCAGAAGATCTTTTGGTGAAGTGGAAGGAAGTTTTTTTGATTTGAAACTGAAAACATGAAACAAATTAAGTATTCTCAAATCTTATGCTACAAATCAGACTCATACAAAATCACCATCACTACCACCGCCACATACCCAAAATCAGCAAAAGACTAGCAGGCCCCTGTCCTTACCTTTTGGATGCCTGCCTGGGATTCTTGCACATTATTCTCAGATCCGTTACTTCGATTAATCATCTGCCACAATTTGGAATACATGTTGTTTTTCTCAAATGGGTTCATGCCTTTCACCCGGACGTGTTCATAGACTGCTGAATCTAGAACAGTGCCATAAGGAATATCGGTTTGCCTTGAGAGATCTTGGAGAGACCTGAAATGTTGGTGAAGGTAAGAAACACAAGAGACATGATTCCAAATTTTAAATGTACTGGAACTAAAGGGCAACATGTACGTATGACAACAATCGTCAGATCATTTTTATTTTGTTTCATTTTATCCTTAAAAGTCAAAGCAAGGCTAAGAGAATTGCTTCTATAGTTTAAGGCACAAGGGAAACTACAGAGCTAGAGAGAAAAGAAAAGAAGAGGAAAGGAAAAATAATAAGAGAGACCTGGAAGGATAAAGGTAGTATCAGTGATTTTCTTTTAAAGGGCAAAACAGAGAGGAAGGGAAGTTTTGGGGTGTTGTTTATTTCATTCATACCATACCTTAGAGATCCAAAAAATCTCTAAAGTGACTCAACATATTTTTTAAAAAAGGTTGGAAGCAATAATTGAAAGTTAATGCCTAAAGTCATAAAAAAGGGGAAGGGGAAAACAAGTGCTAAGATTTATTTCTCTTGATTGATTTGTTAAATCTGCATCATACATTTACGCCAATGGTGTTCAAGGAGTGACTCATAGCAATAAAACACAAAACAGCATTCAAAAATAGCACTCATGATGCATCCATCTTTTGGACTTCACACCTGCCTACCTAACCGGAGACAGAAATATGTCCTCTGGCACAGCTAAATGACACCCTATGGTCTGGTCTGGTTTGCACATCATAGCAAGTCAGATCTTATCACAAAATTACCATTGTGCAGGTGGCTAGATTGCTCCCACATGGTTTTTTGTCCTGCCCACTGGAGCAGCTAAACAAGGTCTGGACTCTTTGTCCATGATTTGTTCAGCATAAAAATCAAAATGGCTTGTTTCTTTCCCCCAAAGCCAGAATCATAAGCCAACAACAAACATTGGCTTATGGCTCTGGGTCATTAGGAAAAGAATAAGGGAGAGACTCAGGTTCAGATACCACATTAAACATGCCCTAGACAGATAATGAGGGTGATGAGGATTAGGATGGCGTACAAATACAGTCACCATCAGCGACAAGGTGTACACCTAGAAAACCTGGATCATGCTGCCATAAAATTCCACAACTACAAAAAGCAGAATCCACATTATCCATTAAAATCTTTAATTAGTTGTGTGCTGTCAAGTCAGAACCATCTTATAGGCAGAGTGCCTGCTCGCACCTAGCTCTACTCATGTCATTCGATCAAGCCAGGATGGCTGGCTGAGGGGCTTGATACTGAGAGAGGCCCGGAAGGAGAGAACTAGAAACCGGGCCTTCTCTGCAGTGGCCCCTCACCTCTGGAACCTCTTGCCCCCTGAGATTCGCCTGGCACCCTCGCTGGGAGTTTTTAAGAACAAGCTGAAGACTTGGTTCTTCAGGCAGGCCTCCCCCCCCCCCCACTTCCATTGTTTAGTTCCCTGTGTTTTCCCATCTTGGACTTTGCTTACTTTTCTTTTTTGTTTGGATATTGTCTCTTTTAATTCTTGTTTTATATTGCTCAGACTGTAAACAGCCCAGAGTAAATTCATTTGAATATAGATGGGCGAGGTAAAAGCTGAATTAATAATAATAATAATAATAATAATAATAATAATAATAATAATAATAATAATAATAATAATAATAATAATAATAATAATAATAATAATAATAATAGTGACCATAATAGACTTTTCAATGTAATGAGATATTTAAGGAGTGGCTTACCAGTTCCACTCCTCCAGTGCATTTCTATGGCTGAGTGGGGATTCAATCCCCAGTCTCCAGGGTCCTAGTCCATTATTCTATCCACTATACCAGACTCAGTACCCATGTAATGCCTTAGGGATTTTTTCCCAACAATCTTTTGAAATATTATTGTTTTAAAAAGTTAAAGGTAAAGGTTCCCCTTGACATTTAGTTCAGTCATGTCCGACTCTAGGGCATGGTGCCCATCCCTGTTTCCAAGCCATAAAGCCAATGTTTGTCTGAAGACAGTTTCTGTGGTCATGTGGCCAGCGTGACTAGACACAGAATGCCATTACCTTCCCACCATGGTGGTACCTATTTATCTACTCGCATTTTGCATTTTGCATGCTTTCGAACCACTAGGTTGGCAGGAGCTGGGACAAACAATGGGAGCTCGTTCCGTTGCGTGGATTCGATCGTATGACTGCTGGTCTTCCAACCTTGCAGCACAGGCTTCTGTGGTTTAACCTGCAGTGCCACCACGTCCCTTAATTATTGTTGTACTGAATTCTAATATCATCATATTCTCATGGCTTTGAAAGGCTTACTCCCTATCCTTTTTTAAAAAAAGCCCTGATTTATCCTGGAAAAAAGATACTGCTGAGATGGCAAAACTATTCTCATCCTTAGCTGGTGGCAGCATGGAATAAGCCTGGAAATGCCTACATGTGTTGTGTCACTAAGCTTCAACCAGGGATACTGGCAAGTCTTTGGGTTCGAGTTCCAAGTCCAGGTCTTTGGTTCCAAGTACCAAGTCTGAGTCCTTGGTACCAAGTACCAAGTCCCAATGGCAAGTCCCTAATAAAAACAACCCTTCCCCCCTCAGAAAAAGGGAGGAGTGGGTGGTTACCAAGTCACAAGTGAAGTCAGAGTCTTTGGGGGGCAAAATTGAGTTGAGTCTGAATTGAGTCACTGACTTGACAAGTCCTGCGATTCAAGTTCCCGTCCCTGGTTGCAACTTCGACCAAGTTATAGGAATGCCAGCTTCCAGCAGTTAACTTCTAAACAAGAGATGGTAGGATGAAGGACCATCATTTTGTCCTTTACATCAAGCAGCAAAATGCAAAGGGCCAACCTTGTTATTCTTGCACCATTTTCTATCTGCCTATAACCATTTACTTTTGCATAGATGTATGCAAATGAGAATCATTATAGATAGGTTCTTCAAATCATTTTTCTGATGGTCCCTGAAAATCTGCAGACAGGACATATTTTCCCTCTATTTACCCATCCTTGTGGACCACTTAACTGTGCTTTTATTTTTTTCTACATGACATTAATTAGACTTTCTGAAGGACTACTGCAGCCTATCACCTAAGACCCATTAAAGCTTTGCTGGTGCAAATTAGCTTTATGTTAAGTGCACAAATCTACCTGATGACACTTAAGGACAGATAAAAGATGTGTGCAGTCTTTTGAAAAGCTTACAGGGAATGAGAAAATGCTTGCATAAGAAATTGGAAAATATTAGCAGAAATGTATAAGATGACACAGACTTCAGAGGGCATGAGTCATAGAATTTTAGAGTTCATTCTCTGCTCCAGGAATGTGTGCAAAACCACAAAATTCATGGACAAAAAGAGACTCTGTTTTGGGGCAATGTATAAATGTATAAATATTTGCCATGTTGTCCCACTCTTATGTCTGAGGAAGTGGACTTGCCACATTAAATTATAGCAGTTTGTCTCCAATGTTTCGGGTTTTTTAATTTTTCTTTTTCTTTTGTTGTTCCCTAAAATTCATGTAATAACCCTGAGCACAATCTCTTACTCTTGGCCCAACCTGACTCAAAAGTATGACTAACCTGAAGATAATAATAATGTTGTGTACCTTGATGAAATTGTTCAATTTTGGTCATTTTTAATGAAATTCTGGGTACAAAAATAATGTAGGAATTACATTGCTCAGTCAGAACAAATATCAGGAATGGGATTTTTGGCTTTTCTGGACCACAGCTACTCTAAGTCTCCATTCAGTTATACCTACCTGACAAATACCTCAATGTGATACAGCTGGGGGAAAGGCCTAAATTCGAAAACTCTGAGGCTTAACTAAGTCAACCTCTGCCTCAGTGTCTTATTCAAAATGAAGGCTTCTACAAGAACAGAAGGTGTTGGCCTAGCTAAGCCTCAGAGCCTTCTGATGTAGGCCTTTTTTCCAGGTACATCAGAATGAGATGATTATCAGGTGCCTGTAGGAAGGTTGAATTCCCAGAATGAAGGTTTTTTTGGGGGTGTGTGTGTGTCAGGAAAAGCCCACCCCTACCAAGCATTCTGTCTACAACAACAAGGTTTTTTTATAAAATTGTGAGCAGAACATGGTATAATATAGAGATTTCTGTGTAGCAATCAAGAGATACGATTCTTCCAAGCACGGAAGCCCTATTTGGATTTTCATAGGTATACTGCTATCTTCTACAGATCTATGATATCTTTCCACACCCACCTTAAACTGAGGCCCCTGATCACTTAACATAGCTACAGGTTGTTGAAGAAGAGAAGGTGTAGAATGGGATAGCTTTGGTGGCATGCGTAGGAAGTAAAGGACGTGCAATTTATTGCTTGTTTTGTTGACTGTGGGGCAACAGCAGATGCAGCCTTTTCTCTGTATACCACAAATGACTCCCTGAACATATAACAAGGGAAAGGCTATCTGAAGAGATTAACTCCACCCTCTCTATGATTATCACCATGTAGAGCAGGGGTGAGAAACTTAGCTGTCTAGATATTTAGGTGTAAAATTCCCATCAGTTGCTACCAATATGGTTTGTTGTTTGGGATTATGGGAGATGCAGTCCAAAATATCCGGGAAGTCAAGCGTTCTCCTTCTCTGATCTTGCAATATTCACAAGAGTCAGTGACAGTGTATTTCACTTTCCCTTCTGTTTCAATATAACTTGGTCTATCAGGCTACAAGCAGTGTGACATTTCCTACTAAAAATAAATCAGATGATGGGGTGAACAGCAACAGCTGGAAAACTTTTACTAGATCTTACAGTATTTGTCTGTTGAGCTTTAGCCAGAATCAGTCAATAGCCAATCTGCTGATGGAAAAAGTCCAAGGGAACACTGTGCTGGATCAGGATATTCCTTTGGGCCAACGATATTGTGTTAATGAGCAGCTGGGCAACTGTGATGGTTTTCCTGAGAGTAGTACTGTTAAGTGTAACTTGAAAGTTATAAATGCCTTCCACTTCTGGTTGATGGTCTCAGAATTCTGGGCAAGCCTGTGCACATCTGTGCTTCCATAAAATGAGATTCACATTCATTTTGTCAAAGCTTTGAAGGTTTGTGATGAAAGAAG